CGGGGCTAATAAGTCTGGCACAGAGCGGCCCCACACGTTCCGCGACAGGCAATCAATTAATGCAGGACGGGTGCAGGCCCAGGAAACGACGGCGGACAGCTGCAGGGACGCTCTCGCCGGGAAGGCTCTTCCTGTTGACTTTGCGCTAAGAGGTACACTTTTAAGTAAAGCCGCAGATAAATAGAATAGAGAAGGGTGTAGGCATCCGGCGCGCCCACGATGATGATCGAAGGAGGCACGACGGCTTGACCTTCCTTCCTGGACGCTGGCCGCAGTGGGCGGTCACAGCGCCGCGTGACGGGCATCCGCAACGAGGCGTAGGCGAACGGCGGCGCCTGGCGAACGGTGGCGCGGTCACCACCAGCACGGGGGTCGCCACCGCGTCCATTCATCAGGCAGCCGAGGTGACCGACGAGCACCATCGGTTTTCCATGCCCACGGGGGGAACGGGGCAAGGACGGCACATTCGTGGCGGCGTGAATGGCCGCCGCCAAAGACCTCACCGCCAATGGCGCGAAACGAATCGAGACCGCGACTGGCTTCGACAGGAAACGATTTCGGCCTCGCGCGCCCTTCCTAAACGACTCGCGACCCACTGATCCATTTATACTGACGCAGTCTGATCAAGAAAAACGGAAAATTCTTCTTCCTGTTAACTGCTCTCGTGTATTACAAGTCGAGCGCCCCGCACTCGGTGGCCCGCTTGCCGAGACGACGCGGTTAAAAGACACGGTTGTCCCCACTGACGCTGTTGATCATTTAAAACTTTCCGGGCGGGAACAGTCGACAGGAACAGCGTCTCTAGAGTTCTACTTCGATAGAGTGTACTAGCACACTGTAACTTCGGTCTTCTTTTTAAATAAAAAGTACACAATGAATATAGTCATCCAAAATGCGTAACTCACCTCGTGTTTCCTTCTCTCGCGCCTCTTTGAACAATGCCTGCAGCGCAGTAACAGGAAGCTAGGTCGGTTTAATAATCAACCATTCTTTTTTTTTTTTTTTGTCGCCAACCTTTTTTTTCGTTCCTTTCGTATCAGCCGCCGTTCGCAACCGGTCAATTCCGGATATAACATGGTTCTCATAGCGCCGCTCGAATCACGGACGAAGAAAGATAAGGGAATAAATAGTGCTCAAATAGAATTGTCGCATTATCGCGAACCTAATTACGCCGCGTAAACGAAGATGTCAAGCTCAAACTGTCGCCGCTGTATACAAGAAAGCTTGAGGTGCAGAAAAAGAGGACATGCCTGCGGCGTTTCCTCTTTCCTTTCTCTCTTCTTACTTGGGGCAAATTATACTGCTAACTAACTACGCGTCCCATCACACATCCCTATACTGTGTTTTGCTAAGACACACCGGGGTGTGCACAACCAATCACTGTATGGCGTCGATAATATCAAGAGGAGACGATTGCTTTCGGAGATGCATGCAAGTGATTTAGTGAAGAGGCTGGAAACGATTTGTCCTTGCGGCTTGCCTGGGAAGGAACCCGACTGACCGAAATGATTGCATCAGCAGCAAACAGGAACATGGTTCTGTTAGTAAATTATGCTTCTGCAACTTCGAAATTGCTACTCTTACGATAATCGGAGACTCAGAGACATTTGTATGGCGATGACATCCTCAAGTTCCTGCATCGGGTTGCCGTAAGATCGGTTTTCACAGCACTGTTGAAGACATATGGTTGTCCGTTTTATCAGGTAGGAAGGCTGATTTTCACTCTTCTTTATATTCATCGTAAAAAGTATAAGGATATTGTCCCGCACCAAAGTGACCAAATTATAAGAGGGTACTCGTAAACTTGTCACGGCGCACTGATACACCATCGCGGAGGTTTCAGCCCGAGACCCAAAAAAATTAGAGAAAGGAAGGTTCATAGGTCGGCCCTCATTCACTTTCAGCAATACGCATATTTCTGTTAAACCATCTTAAATTGATTCAGCTGATTGTTCTTTAACAGAAAGTAGAAAATTGTAGTGCAATGCAGAATTGAAATGCAGATAGAAAGGTGTTTCCAAATCCAAGACAAATGAGTGTAGCGTAAACACCTGGGACAAGTGGAATTCAAATGTATCAAATTGAAATGCACTAATAGTAAAAAAAAGAAAGGGAGAGAGAAAGAGAAAACAAGCTCATTTTGAAAGAGTCATACTGATGCACGTACCATTATCCCAAATAGACGGCACAGTTCAACGGCTCATTTTATTCTATTATCGAATAGCACACTGATTTCTGACGGGGTATACATGGTTAACTGCTTTATGTTGCGAGGACAAAGAAATGGGCTTGGGAAGCGAGCAATACAAAACTGCATTATTATTACGGCCACGAAACAGCACCCAGACTCGTGTGCTGAACAATGGGAACGAGAGAGAGATGAAGATTTAATGAGCCAGAAGAAATTAGAGATATATGGTATGAAGAAAAGCAGGGAGGTTAACCAGAAAGCAAGTGTCTGGTTTGCTACCCTGCACTGGGGAAGGGGAAATGGGAGACAGAAATGTGAGGAAAAGGGAATCGGAGAAAGAGAGCGGAGCGGAAGCGAAAACACACAAACACACTAAAACGTCACAAACGTTCGGCGAGGCGGGTCGATCGCAGAAACTTCCGGAGGGCCTTCGTCGCTTTTCGGCGTGAAGCTCGATCTTTGCGGTAATACAAAATTAATTTTTCGGAAAGTGGCTGGTCATCGAGGCGTGCAAACAGACGAAAAAATGGAGACAGAAAAGTACAGAGGCAGAAGAACCGTGCTAATTCTGGCCAGCTACACCAAACTTACATTACTGCTAAAGCGTAACCTAAGCGATGTCTTCGTCGTCAGAGGCACCCATTAAACTTGAGAGCTGGATCCCGCCCCGCGCAACCTTTAAACCTCGCGCAGTCAGCGCAAACCGGCGGAAGAGAGATGACCCGCGCGTCTATGGAGTGAGAGGGCGCAGATTATGTTGCCCGCTCGCTTGCACATTCGCCAATTTCCCCCGCAAGTCGTAATGAATGAAACTGCTTTCGGGGCTAATCTGCAAACGTGAGCGTGGCTCTCTAGTGGACGTAGCATACTAAGCAGAGTGCCATGCTAAGCGCGCTGCAGCGCCCTCCCCCGCGCGCCGTTGTCGACCGACGACGCAAGGAGGAAGCCTATAGGCGTTGCGTGGGAGAGCAAGGTCGCATCCTGCTGCTCGCCGTTCGTTTTGCCCTGTGAGCGAGAAAGATGGCTCGATGCCTCCTCGCCCCTCACGCTCGCCTGGAACTTTCACCCGGAATCATGCAAATCGGACGCAGCCGCATGAACCGGACGTGCTCGCGTGAAGCTGCGCAGCGGTGCGCACATACATATACGAACAGAGACGCACAGCGGGCTGCAGCAGCAGAGCGCTGGGTCAAGCCACAGCCGCGAATTGAGACGCCACTTGCGGCTCCCTTCCGCCGGTCGCGATTTGGCGGTCAGCGGTAAGAGCGGTTATGTAAAGACGCGCAACTTTCTGTCGGCGTTTTCTTGCCTGTGTCACACTACGCGATGTTGAAGGTACAATAAACAATAGTGCAGTGCGGTCCCATCACTGCTAGGTTATTCCTTTATTAATCGATTGAACACTCATGGCTACAGAGTTTCTGATGAAATGGAAAAACACGAAAGCAAACCGCGCACCTCCGAACAAACAAAAAAGACGTAAAACGTTGCACGTTTCGATCGAAAAGATTCACGACACACACCACGCGAGATGCATATGAGCAGAAGACCCGAAAATCCGTGAAATCATTTTTTCAAGTGACAGTACTAACAACCATCATGGGAACTTTGCGAAGGGCAACAAATATACGGAATACAAAGGAATGTCGTCAGTTTTTTTTTTTTTTTGAACGCTTTAAAATGCTCTAATGGTGAATAGCAAACGTATACCTAGCCCACCTAATTACTCATCTCGATGAACCACCGACTACCTAGCCGCAGCCAAAAAGTCCTCGCAGATCATCAACGGGATGGCGCCTGCAAATTCCGCGTTGATCAAGCGCTTGCGAAATCGCCCCAGGCACGCCACGTTCAGCCCTGATCTGACCGCACCTAACGACGAGATTGCCAGCGCTGTGTAGCGACGGACGGGCCGTCCCGGTTTCCGCGAACCCTTTCGTCAATCGTCGTCCACTCGTTTTGGTCACGCTGGTCGGCGAGAAACTCAGCCGGCGGCGATACGCGACCGAGGAATTCGATAGGCCGCCGCCTGCCCACGCGTCTCTGCGAGCGCCCACGCCAGCGGGAGAGGCCATGCACGCCGGCCCCGATATGGGCAGGGAGGGCGGTCATTCCGGCGGACCCCGTCGATGTTTCCCGTTCCGGACGCGCGTGCTCTGATAGTAAAGAGGAGGAGGGCACGCGGCGCCTTAATTGACAGTGGTTTATTTAACCCGGACGCGCCCCACGCGGGAACCCCAAGGACGGCTTGTCGCGCCGCCGCGAAAACCAATTATTCCCTTCCGTCCGCGCGCCACGTGCGCGCAGTGGGCCCTTGTCTTTTGGCTCTTTTTTTTCCTCCTCAATCGCCAGCGCGTAATATACGGCCGACCGCAAGAGCGCGTACGCGGGCTTTTCAGCTGCGGGTAAGCGCCCACTCGTCGGTGTGACGGATTGGCAGCGTGACCCGAGTCATTTGGCCGCCGGGTGAATTAGGTGGCTACCGCTTCATTAACCAACTAAGCATTGCACGTGCACGCGTCCTTCGAAGGCGATGCTTGCCAGCCGGCCTGCAAACACTGATGGCACCGCCATGCTGCGAAAGCGATGCACTGCTCGCCTTCTACATCTCTCGTTTCTTTGTTTACCAAGCATAAGAAAAGGCGTAATAGCACAAAGACTTCGATTCACTCCTGTAAATTCCATATACTTGAGAAAAGACTATCCCTTCGGTGAAATCTTCATAATGTTTTAGACGTGTTCACTTCCAAAAAGCTTGTCCGTCCACCGAGTTCTTTCGCAGAAAGGACGTGAATACATGCTCACTTACCATGGCGAGGAAGTAGAATTTCTCGAACTCGTACTCTTGATCTTGAATGGCTGAAAGCGAATCTGCCACAAAAAAATGCTTGGACAGGGCCTCGGCTCCGTTTTTGCAGATCCACGACAGCACCTGCAACAAAAAAAAACAAAGAAAAAACATAAAATGTGAGGGATGCGATTTAACAACACTGAGCTCATAACATTGACGCGCGGGAATGAAAGTAAAAAAAAAAAAATCTTAAGCGTGAGCACAGCCATTGACACACTCAGCATTGGGCCATGGAATCAAAATGAACGACACTGCATGGTTATGTTGTTACAGCATTGATATGTATTTCAAAAAATATATATCGGAGGGTTGCTCTTTAAAGCTCGAATGCATGTTGTTGTAGCGCTGGCTGAATTGTGCGGAGCAAAAATTTCACTATTTAAGAACGGAGCTACAAGAGAAAAGCTAAATTTCAGAAAAGTGGCAGGTGTGGCCTCTAACGTCGTGCTTCACTCACGAGTAGAAAAAAAAAAACAACAACATCGTGGGTTACATGTTCCAATGTATGTAATAGTTCTGAGAAATAGTCTAAAGGCGCCGATATTTCATTCGCAGCTTTAAAGGGCAGAAAATCCTACGAAAGACCTGCACGTGAACACGAACCCTACATGCCGGCGTCATCTACACGAAGTGATGAAGTTGCGATGAGGGAGGGACATTTCATGATGCGAGGGAGAAAGCTATATTAAGAGTGAAGCGCATAGCGTCCCTGTGATAACTTGTGGGGGTTGAACCAAATGTTGTTAGTAGTCGACTTCAACTGGCAGAAAGACCTTTTCTTATCTTCTTTGAGAGTAATGTAAACAAGCGAGCGTTTGGTGTGAAGTCACGTCACCCTCGAAGCGATAGCGTTTTTTTTTTTTTTTCAGCGGTGACTCAGAGCAATGCCTTGCTTTATAATGGCCACAGAAGTAGAGGCGGGAAAAAGACTAACAAAGAAACTTTCAGATTTTCAATGTGCTCTATACATAGCAACATTTGTCATTAAGTGGGTCATACGTTTGAATTATGTTTGTCTTTATTTTCGTGTGTTGATTGATTGATATGTGGGGTTTAACGTCTCAAAACCACTATATGATTATGAGAGACGCCATAGTGGAGGGCTCTGGAAATTTCGGCCACATGGAGTTCTCCAACGTGCACCCAAATCTGAGCACACGGGCCTACAGCATTTTCACCTCCATCGAAAATGAAGCCGTCGCAGCCAGGATTCGATGTCGCGACCTGCGGGTCAGCAGCAGATTGATTGATTGATTGATTGATTTGTGAGGTTTAACGTCCCAAAACCACGATATGAGAGACGCCGTAGTGGAGGGCTCCGGAAATTTCGACCACCTGGGGTTCTTTAACATGCATTCAAATCTGAGCACACGAGCCTGCAACATTGCCCCTCCATCGGAAATGCAGCCGCCGCAGCCGGGATTCGATCCCGTGACCTGCGGGTCAGCAACCGAGTGCCTTAGCCACTAGACCACCGGGGCGTGGGGGAGGGGGGGGGGGGGGTCATCAGCCGAGTAAAGCTAGCCACTACAGACCACCGCGACGGGGCAACAGTATAAATTACCAGCGTTATAATGGCAGTGCTCTACTGTGCAGTTCACACTGACAGGCAGTCTTATGGATGCGGAACAAGCGCGCAATGGTCCAACATTAGGAATCTGTATGGCCAAAACCAAATAATTTTTTTCTTCTTTTGCTAAACTTTCAAAAGCTGTATTTTGAAAGTCTACACCAATGTCACTGAAATGTCACTGATATTATTAAGCGTTCGAGCAATGGCCTTCGAGAGCATCTGTTTGGCCATGATTGGACCATTAACGTGGGACACGTATAGGTTTGAAAAATTACGTCCTTGTTCAAACACGAGCGCAGTTCTTTCGAGGGCAGTCTTTGCGCTGCTGACCATCGCGTTCTGGGCGAGCGGCGTCGATCGGGGGCTGCGCGGAGTGTGCTTTGCCCGAAACCTCCACGTAAGTGCTTGGGCACACGCCTCCCGAAAGGAAGCCGCACGCCGCCTTAAAAAAGGCACGTCGCCTCGAGCAATCGCTGCTGCGCGCGCATTGGTGGCCGCGGCTGCACGAGGGATTATGCACGTACAGATATGGCCGAAATGAAATTGAGGTTAAGCACCCCTCCGTCCTTTCTTCGTGTACTTTATGCCTCTCCTTCGAAGCGCCAGGGTCCCAGTTATAGAAGGGGTGGCACCGGTGCCGTACCGACAGAGACCGCTGATAGAGCTGTTACGTGAGTGTACATACACTACCGGAAAGGCCCTTCTTATACGACTTGGTTCTCCACGTCCTACATTCACGTTAGGGGGCTGTGGTCGCACGCACGGTGGCTGCTGTAACAACTTCGACCTATTAAAAACGATGACCCGCCTTGAAATAAGAAGCATACTTTGAGCGTAAAGCCAAGACGTTCGTGGCAGCCGTCGGCGGGAGGGTTTCAGCTAGTCCACTTGTTTTCCCTTACTTGTGTTTCCTTTGCCGCGTGCACTTAAGCGGCGATCGGCGGCGATAAAAGCCAGTATATAGGACAGCGCACCAGCTCTCGGTGTAAACACTGCAATTTCCAGCGCAGCAGGGGAGCCCCCCCCCCCACCCCCCTTATGCCCGGCGCGCTCTGTCACACACATAAGAAGGCACGCTCCTGATATTGATCGCGAAACGGCTTCGCAGCGGAACCGAACATTATTGTTTGCGCACAAATGGAAACCCCCCTCAATCTGAGCACCAGTTTCGAAAGCGAAGTCCGGCAAGTGCAGGTCGCCGAATGTTTGTTTTTCAGTATTTTTTGCAGCTCCCAAGGAGGATAAACATCACAACGCGCCGTAAATATCCTTTTTTTTATTCATCAACCTTTTCCCACAACTTTTACCTCTACTGTGAGCGAAGGCATCCCTCTCACCTCCTCATTGCGCACGCCTCTAGTTTTGCCTAACATTAGAGGAAAAAGCGAGATTCTTGCTCTATATCGCTCATCACATCCAACTCATCCAAACGTGGAAATTTTCGTATACCGTGCACAACACTTCGCACGGGGAAGCAACGACGGAAAGGGTCACATTGCCGCACTACTCTGTATTTCCTCACGGCCTCTTCCAACAACAAACAGCGCAACATAAAGCCGAACACTTGACAACACGCTGTGCTCTTCTCGTGAATGCGGCTGTCTGCATGCATGCAATGTCAATTTCTATTGTCATCTCCTTTGAAATCATGCGGAGCCAAATAGTTACCCAGCTTACTTGAGCTAATCAGATATGAAATGCATATGTCGTAGTTTAGCTTGCTACATACCTGTAATATCATCCTATATTTATCGATAAAGCTTCTATCTTTATAATGCGCAATTATTTATTTTTACGCGACTCCGGCTCCATAGATTTCCGCCCATCAAAATAAACTTTCTCCGGCTTTTCCCTTAGCTTTTCAGTGCGTCAGCATTATAGATACGTAAGTAAACATAGTCAGGGTTCAAGTGAAAGCGCCAGTTTGGTGTGTGGAACATGGAGCTTTAAATGCATCAAAGCTACGATTTATTTCCGTCATCCAAGTCCTCAATTTATTACCTAGAAGGTCACGCTACCACCAAGTCCACGCGTGCACAATAGGCGAGGGTTTAGCAATGAGAGCATTATATTCCATTGACCGAAGAGCATTCGAACTGCTCAGGAGGTGGATACCAGGGAAAGGCGTCTCCCTGACGAGGCACGTTAACATTGCGCCCCTATTGCCTGTTGTTCGCGTGATCCACTAAGAGCACGATGTCGCACGCGTATATCAGCCCTGGTACACTCCGTTGAACCCTTACCCCCTTCACTATAGGATATAAACAAAAACCCTATTCAAGTTCTTTTCAGTCATCTTTTTATACCTTTAGCATTGTCCCAAACACGCGTTCAAGAAAGCACGCACCTCCGATTTCTAATATCTACGTGAAAACCAGGCCCCGTTCGGACGCGACAAAAGCCGGCGCAACGAAGAAACGAGCATCAAAAGAGATCGCGCGCGCGCCTTCTCTCCCCCTCGAAAGCGCCGCGCCGACCAACCTCCTCGGATACAACACCCAGGGAGCTTCAGAAACATCTCGAAGGGGCGTGATGCTGCAGAGTTGCGTCACCATACGTCTCGCCTTCTCCACAGCCTTGGCTGTGCGGCGTTCCGACAAAACGCCTCGAATTTCGGAAGCTCAGCGACTAGGGCATATAAGCAAGCAGCAGAGGAAGTCGAGGGCGAGGGAGATGAGAGTTTTCCGCCAGAGTGCGAAGGCTTGTCTTATAAGCAAGAGATGAGGGCGCCAGAAATTTCGACCACCTGGGGTGCACCCAAATCTGCACCCAATCTGCACTGGGGTGCACCCAAATCTGCACCCAATTTGGGTGCACCCAAACGTGCACCCAAATCTGAGCACACGGGCCTACAACATTTCCGCCTTCATCGGAAATACAGCCGCCGCAACCGGGATTCGATCCCGCGACCTGCCAGTCAGCAGCCGAGTACCTTAGCCACTACACCACCGCGGCGGGGCCAATCAAAGTTCTAAACTTATTCGAGTTTTACTCGGCGTTTGTCGAACAGAATATACGGAAGGTTAAGCTGCACGTGCCATTTCAGAATTAACAAACACTGCGGCGTGATTTCTAAAAGAGTCATCCCACGAGACATTCAAGTCTAGTAGGATGACTCGTTTAGATATACACCCCGAGGAACATGGCGTCTCGGGGAACATGGCGTCTGAAACGTACTTTGCCACCATTTATGGACGCCGCTAACATCAAGAACATCCATGACTCTCGAGATGCTATTTTTTTATTGCAGGCAGGCACAAACGCGTCTTTTTTTTTTTCTGTTGTTTTTACTGTCCCCCTTAATGCCCGAGGCTGCTCCTATGCAGAGTGAGCCGATAAGCTGCGGGGGATATTTGAGGATGTGCTTGCTCTCCCTGATTGGCTGACGAAGCCTGCAGCTTACACAGAGCTGCGAGAAGCTACCGAATGGATCGCAGAATGTTGCACTTTGCTTCTGGGACCGAGCCTATTTATTAGCTGCATTGGGTATCATCTAAAATTGCGGCCG